GAGATGTTTTAAAATATAAGTATCTGGAAATAATAATAACAAAGAAAAATGAGGCCCGTGATTAAATTACATTCAGGACGCGCTTGTTGAAATTCAGTTCAGAAACCATTACCATCATGTTTGCTATCCAAAACACTAAAGTGTTTTTGAAAACAATGCACTCAGGAAGATATCTGGACCTAGGAAGGATGAAATAAGTAGGGATTTTAGAAGATTACATAACGAGGAGCTACATGAATTATAGAGGTCACCTAGCACAGCGAGGATAGTGAAATCTAGGACGCGGCTTTGAAACAAGAATCACTTGCAAATGTAGTGTCGCAATGTCAGCACCAAGTTTCATAAAAATCTGTCAACTGGTCCAACACTTGTTGGAGGGGCAAGATGACTGTGCAAAGACTATATCACACAATAAGGAAACCAAGAACCAAGCTACAAACGTCACTTACAAGTAAACATATGAAACTTGTATACGTGTTTAGTTACAAGAGACTCACTGTTTACGAATGGCTCCAGTCATCTTCATCTGGCACACCAAACGGATGTAGTCCATCTTATTCTGCTCACATACTTGAATGTTGCGCCCATTTGGAATCAGATCACGGACTTCTGTTACCCCGAATTCCTGAACCTGTATTTTAGAAGATACACAAGATTATGATGTCACAACGATTTTAAAAAGAAAAGAACTAACGTACTAATTAACTCCGTTGAGCACAGTTCTCCCTGAGAAGCTAGCAATCCTACAGCCAGGTAAGAAATTCCCCATTTTTTATATAAAGAGAGTCGTTAACATGTTCACAACAGTTCAGAACTTATGAACACAGCATACAAAATAATGAACCACTCACTTCTGCACTGAACGTAAGGTCGTATCCCAAGTCGCTCACATAATGCTCCATCAGGTACACAAGACCCTGATAGAAGCTGTAGTCCTCACTTTCCATGTCAGTGTACTTGACAAGGATTCCCAAGATGTGCTTGTAGAATGACCGTGTGAAGTAGCACTCAAGAAGCTTGTTGTCATAAATTGCCTTTGCTGGGGTGAAGAGAAAAGAAAAGAGAACCTCACACATTTTGAAGTTTCTATTACTCTGGTTCAATAAATAAAATTATGTAATTTTCTCTCTATAAAATCTACACACTAGATTCTTTACACTACAGAATGTGCCGCACTGAACACTTAAAAGAGTTACGCTAGTGCTGTTCACCAGAGAATGCTCAATGGGATGCAACCCTACTAGCACAGATTTACCTAGGACGAAACAGTACGACAAATGAACAAGGCAGCACATGAAAACTTCGTGACTATCCATTTATCACAATTGACCCACCGAAGTTTGACATGGCAACAAATAATACTAACCAATGACTCTGCCAACAAACTTGAAATAGCACAGGTGATTTGGGTTGCAGTGTGATGAGGAGTTAATCATATACGTCACACGATCTCCGGGCGACGTCGTGAACAGAGCGTACATCGGGTTGAATATTTCTCGTGATATTATCACATACCACTCCCGTAGCAGACCACCTGCATCTTGGCCCTCTTCACCTGTGGAATGAATACAGTGAAAATATGCTCGCATAATTTGTATGCCTTGTTACAATCTCATGAAAATAGTGCATCTGGGAAAGACATTAATATGGCTTTTTGGAAAACAGAGCATGTGAGAGGTCACTGAAGTGCCATTCAGTATTCAGCAACTACCATTAGCATCTTCCTACAGCAACTTAATGAGAATTAAACAAACAGGAGCAATTTTATTTTAGCACAGAAAATTCTTATAAAAATTGCTATTCACTTTCAAATACTGATACCATAGTAAATCCTTAATTCAAAGTGCTTTGGGATAAAAATGCACACACAGCGGCATGAACAAACTCCCTTTCAACATCACATTCCGGGTGGGTTATCTAGACATCAAACGCTAGCTGATTTACATAATTCAGGCATGTTCCAGGAAAGAATGTACGTAGTATTTACAAGACGCCATACTTCACTTATCTGCAAATCATGCAACCTCTATGTACATGAAATAACTCTGAATTATAACAATTTTTCTACTTGCAGGTCTTGAATATTACTTCAACTGTTAAGAACACAGTACTGATCGCATGCACTACCTGTTTCAAAAATCAGTAACTTTACATTTCTCCCAGTGTACTTATGGTCTTCATATAATTCTCTGACTAAATAGTGATTATTTCCTTTAACACCATTAACCAATTTGATCTGTGTAATCGAGACAGATTGCGCTTCCTTTTAGTAAAAATATGATTTTTAAATATTTAGATTAGCTGCAACTACAAGGGTTTAAACACACAAGAAAGTTGAGAAAACTGCGGCTACTTCATAGTACGTTTTTAGTTTGGAACAACATATAAAGTGCATTCAGTACCTTCAAACACAATGTAAAACCTATTCTTCCATTCATCAGCACTTCGCCTGTGAAGTTCCCGGAACGAGTCTTCAAATACGTGACTTCTACGGACATGGACTGCCAATTCTTCGCGTCTGATACCTTCATCCATTCTCTCCAATTCTGATCTGAAGTATCGCCGCTTTACATCAAAGTCTAACACTCTAGTGTGGTCAACCAGAACAGCAAACGGACCATCAGCTAGATGTGTTGTAGACTGGCGAAGAATCTGATTCAATACTGTCCGATGAGTCTCTACAAAGAATGCTTAGCATTAATTGAATCATTATGAAATTTTTACAAGTGTCCTAGATCCAAATATTCTTCTCAGCAACCTAATCTCAAACACCATTAATCTATTCAGACAAGAGATTTTCTTGGTTCATGTGTTTTGTAGTGTTCTGCTCGTGTATCAACATTTTGGAGGGACATGACACTTCAGGCTTCAGGGTTGATGTGAGAACATGTCGCATTTCTAGAAAAAGCGAAATGATAAATTCAGTTCTCACACTCTACAAAAATACTACCTGTATATTCTTTCTGAAGACCTGTTACCACATCACATTAAATGGTAACTCCAGTTTACGAGTTCATAAACAGTAGTAAGAGGCTGTGATGTGAGGCATTTTGTGACAACCTGTTCATGCATCCACATGCACATGTGCGATTTCATAGTCTATGCTTATTCTTTCTGAAAGGAAAGAGGATAAAAATGCTCCTTAATAAATGAAAACGAAAAGATACTGCTACATAAATTGTTTTTCAAAAGAAGTGACATAAATACATGGTAAACACAGGAAGTTATTTTTATAACTGAACCGACCTGCAAACTTGAGGAACTTCTGTTGATCATGAGGAAGTGTCACAGGAGACGGTGTGACTTCCCAGTTAAAGTTGAGGTATACAGGGGAGGGTTGTGTAGTGGAGTTCCCATCTGAGTCAGACACAGGTGCCACATCTGGCTGGATGACTGCCACCTCTGGTGGGGCAGGATTTTCACGTGTGCGCTGCTCACGTACACTCCGACCATCACGTCCATCATACGCTGCTAATCGATGTTCTTCAGCAGCTGTTGCATGAACTAGGAAGAATGATTCTACAGCTGGCTGTAAATGACAAACACACTGCTCCTGCGATCATTTGCCGAAGACAACGGCAGTGAGAGCTACCGAGAGCTTAACCTCTTCACTGCTATGGCTAGAACATTTCACCTATGCAGAAATGTACACTGTACATTACGGATGGAATAGATCCACATGGGTACAGAATGCTGTAATACTAATCTCTCTGTGCTGTCAGCCAATGTAATGATCCAGCTTAAATGGGCCATAACAGATTTTGTATATTTTTATGTTAAACAGAAATGAGTAGGAGTGTCTAAATGTTCACAATACGGTGACTGTGATTAAGTTTTGAAAACAATAAAAATATGAAATAAGTACCTTTAATACTCAAGACAGATTTCATAGCCATTTTCAGTAGTTATGATTTTAAATTATCTGACTTCCAATGACATTAACAGGTTTACCAAAATAACAAAATTCATACAGCAGAGTCCTTCTTCAGAAGCTGATAACTATTTAACCAGTCAAGAAATTCTCTGCCATTTAAGTAACCTGAAGTTTCATATCAGAGTTCACAACAGCCTCCCACTGGACCTTATTGTGAGCCAGATAAATGAAGATGATAACCATTTAAAGTCAATTTTAACATTTTCCTACCAAACTGGTCTCTTTCTTTAAGGCTTTCTGAACAAAATTTTGTATGTATTTCTCATTCATCCTATGTGTACTGCATGCCCATCCACCTCATCCTCCTTAATTTCATCATCGTTATAGCGAAGAAAACGACGTATGAAGCTCATCATTATGAAATTTTGAAATTTCCTCCAGCCTCCTGTCACTTCCCCCCTCTCAGCTTCAAATATTCTGCTAATCAATATTCTCTTCCAAGCGTAAGAAACAAAGTTTCACACCCGTAGAAAATACCAAGTAAAATTATGAAGTCATATTCTTTAATCTTTACGTGTTCAACCAGCAGATGGAAAGACTTGAAACCGAACAGTAAATTTTTCAGCCTGAGCATGTTCTTAATCACACACCTGCAGCACAAGGACAGCATGGTGGTCTGGAGTGTCTGCAAGCTCTAGTAAGCAAGAACTTAAGGTGTCCCACAGTCTGTCGAGGGTCAGCTGCTCACTGAGTGTCGGCAACACCACCTCTTCTTCTTTCTGCTGACGAGTGTCTAATGACAATGTACCATTAATATACCACACTTCTAGCAAATATTTCTGAAGGTGAAGAAACAATCATAAAATTCAGTTATCAAAATAAATAGTTACACATAAAAACCTAATCACACTGCCTTACATTATGTGGTTGCATGCATATGCATGACAATATCTTGTCAGCAGTTATGTTTAGAAACCTTGCCATATTGTGCAAGCACATTAATAACAATAAAACATACAAAACACTTCTTATTTTCTCACCAGTGTCAGGGTTGACATCAAGTGTGCTAGCTGACGAGGCAGCTAAGGTTGGGGGCACTGCAGAAACGGTCCCAGGTGCCAAGACACCTCCCATGGTTACTGCACGATCAGGCTCAAGATCTTGTGCCTGAAAATCCTGTCTTTGAACCGCAGCCTGACTTGATGCCGAAGGTTCAACAGGTAGGTTTTCTGGATTAGATGAGGCATGTTGGATGTGGTTTGTGACTGTGCTAGGACTGCTAGTATCCATGGCTGAGGCTGAACCCGGCATCGCCTCTTCAGTGGCTGCGCCTCCCTCATCGGCCGAGCTGTCGCCTTGTTGGAAGTAGTCAAGTGACTCTGCAGGTGGACGATGCAACAAGTTAATGTTACACAAAGGGAGATTAAACTGCTTAAAGTTCACTACAAGTCCCTTCTGTCTTTCAGCACAAACTCCTTGGAGAAATATACATCAGCTGCAGACTTGTTCAAAGCACACAGCAATGCTGAAGCCACCCCAGGGCAGTCTAACGAGGTAATGCTCATCATGGATAAAGGTCAAACTCTAATCATAAAGAAACAGCTCTACAGCCAGAATTTTAGTTCACTTTGTCATGACTTCCATAAACCACAAACACACAGTCTTATAATAATCTATATTTAATATCCGTATGACCAGTTCAAAATACTGATGGCAAATTGTTCCAACACTCTTGTGAAGAAGAGGCATAGATTACAGAATTAACAATATGATTTTATGGATCAAAAAAGGAATTTATCAATGTTATTACCACACGCGGAAAATCATAAATCATTTTACTTTTTATCAAAGAAACTGTTCGGCCACGTGTAAACATGCTGCTTCAGAAGTAGATATAGAACCAATAATCACTCCATTCGGAGAAATTTCACCACGAAAGTAATTAAATGTAACAAGTAAGAAATTTTAACTCAAAATAACCAATGGTTTTGTAAAATATGAAACTGATAAGAAGATGGCTGTCTTCTGTCTTGTAGCCCTGTGTAGTCTGGTAGAAGTTTACGAACATTTCAGAGGTCCCTGTTGCCTCCATCATCATGATAGAGGCTGTAAGCACCTCTAAAACACTGGTAAACTTCTGCCAAACCACATGTTGTTACAACCCAGAAGACAGTCATCTTCATACTCACTGCCATGAAAAATTCAAATCTTACTAAGAAAATGGTAAGTTATAGTAACTAGCTACGGGCTGTACAACTGGGGTTCGATCCCCAACTGGGGCAAAGGATTTTTCCTCTAGCCTCTGCGTTCAGACCGGCTCTGAAGCCCACCGAGCCTCCTACCCAATGGGTACTGGGGTCCTCTCCTGGGGGTAAGGCACAGCTGGGGCATCATGCTGACCACTCACCCCCATCTAGTCCTGAGGTCAAGAATGAGGAGCTATACCCCCTCACCCCTCAAGCAACCTAACAGGAATGCTTTACTCTTTTACTAAAGCAGGGCAACTAGCCATGAATCTAAATGGCTTAAAAATATACAAATGGATAAACAGAATGCAGTGTAGCTGAAATGGCAAGGAAAATTTAGTAAATAAAAAAACAAATTTCCCCACAAGTTACACTGAATTAGACTTCATCAAACATTTTGGTATTTGAGTTCCAGCTAAGAATCAAAAGGACACTTACCACTATTCTCCCTGTTTCTTCTGTGTGCAAGTCGCACTGATTCTCGAATCTGAACAATTACTTTCAGAATTCTCAGGAAGAAAGCCTGACTCGAGGTCTTGCTTGTGAGTGTGGCCATGGATGGCAACTGCAGGTCACATCCAGACTTAACTTTGGAAGGTGCTGTCACAATGACACTGTCCTTTGTGAACCTGGAACCACATGCAACATGACAATTAGAAGCAGCGTGTGCCACAAGCACATTCAGGAATATTGGAAGCATGTGCTTACCTGTCATGTACCACTCCCTTAGGAGGACGATCCATCATGTATGTCTCATCACAGTCATCTTTCCTTAGATGCCTATTCATTAATTTCAGTTCTTGCAAAAGTGCAGCAATGTGGTCATTCACCATGTTTGCAAGTTCCATTGCTCCATTCAATAACAGAAGCAAAATCTGTTGATACAAATTCGGAATGTTAGTATTCTCTTTAAGTTAACACTCCTTAAATTAATTGATAAGCACTAAAAATCTAACATGGTGATCAGTACCTTCGGAATGAAATTTTTGAACTGGAACTATGTGCACAAAATAAGTCCCATAATTTCTGCAGATCTAAAGATGAAAAACTTTAAAATTGTGAAATTTCAGTTTTGATGACTACAAGGACAACCTGGTTTCTGACACTTATGCTGACAACACCAATTTAGCAACAGCAGTAAGCAACCATTACTATAAATATAACACCTTCTTGTCTTTTACAGTCTCAAGTTCCTGTGTTTTCAGACACTTTGCCCGTGAACCCAAGATTTCTAAAGCAAAACAATACTATCAGCATTTGAGCAGCTGAAGCTTATGGTAACTAGCGACGAAGAAACATTATCTTGTGGTTATCACTTACTGAAAAATAAATTCTTTATTACAGGAAGGCAACTGCTGAAATACCGTCAATAAAAGACCAAAAATATCATGAATTCCCTATTGCTAATCTAAATAACACACATCTTTTCAATGCAATGAGCTGTTTCTGTAAGACACTTCGCCCTGAAGACAGAGGCAGTATGACCTCTGAAACATTGGTTAACATCACCCAGACTACACAGCGCAACAACCCAGAAGACAGAAATCAAGTAAAACTAAGTGATAATATGATTCAAAGTCACAAGCCAAACCTATTACACATTTTAGTTAGTAAAGTTGCATTTATCTCTACTGTAACCATTATATTCCATCAGTAAAAAAGTCAAAGTCTATCTTCATATACACACAAGCTACAGATTTTTATCACCCTTAAAAATCCATCGACCTCGGCCGGGATTGAACCCGTGAACCTTGGGACCAGTGGCAAGCACGCTAACCACGAGTCCACCTAGGGCGACCATTGTCTCTACCCACCCCAACATTCTACCACCTTCATATTTGGTATATAGTTCAAATTAAGAAACTCTTAACCATGCAACCTTCTCTAGCCTATTGTCACTTCTAAATAATTTCCTGAGAACCCTAAACTGTCAATTACGTTCTTCTCTTAACGTAAATACAACAGCAATATCAACTGAAACATTTACATTTACCGTGTCCTTTGTAGGGTCAGGACAATTGGCCATGTTGAGGAGGAGTGCCGTTGCATCCTCCAGACCCTCTTCTGAACAGCTCTTTGAAGTGAGGACATCTATGGCAAGTTTTAGGTGTTGTTCAGAAACTGGTACACTTTCATTCTTTTCCTCAGGTTTCTTCGCATTACTTCCGTCGCGTCTTCGAACGTACGGGTTAACTTCAGGCAGTCCGATAGAGATGAGGGATAGCAATCGAAGTAACTTGTCTGTCAAGAGGCAGCTGCGCTTCACAACAGGAGATGCTAGCATCGCCAAAAGTTGTCCAAATGCTGAGGTCTCAAATGTTGGAGCTTGTCCATCAGACTCTGATGACAGAGCCGAAGCACTGTGTGCACGAGCCACACTCTTCCCCTTCTTTGTAGAAGTAACAGAGTCCAACTTGAGCAACATGTCCCAAAAACTGGTCCCATCTGTACGACTAGCTCTAGACACCCCACTACCTGATGATCCTGGAGACAACTTTAACCTCACTTCTCTCGGTGGTGAAGTATCTTTGTATTTGCACTCATCTTTACTTTTCAGAGGCAAGAAATAACCTGGAAAGCTCTTCGCTAAAGATATTAACACTTCGAGAGTATGCCTGAAAATTAAATATATGAAAATCAATAAAACAATAATTTCATAATTTTGACAAGTCTTACTACTTTATGATAATGAAAACGCTACTAATAATATTTCTACCATAGAACACTTGGTAAAGGTGATAAGTAAATAGCATACCTGAACACGATGGGAGCTGCCTGTGGGTGAATTGTAACATTCGCTGCATCTTGGCTCTTGCCACGTTTTCCAGGCTGCTTCACAATAGTAAACACACTGGCCCTGCAGCCAAGTGCAGCATCAAGGCTTATGTTCAGCCATGAGGGCTGCGTATTCCGAACAGCCGTTTCAGGGTGAGGCTGTGATCGGGTTGACATCCGTCTCGGCTTGGGCAGGACCAAGCTCTCAGTAATTCTGCAGTCATTGCACTTCTCCATAATAGACAACAAAGCCTATAACACAATATATATTTTATTTTTGCTACATTGAGAATCATGCCACACATTTAACCAGTAAGACCTCTGTTCTGATCTTAGGTGCTGGCAATGTGTGGAATCTGGTGTGCTGCCAACATTTCTGAGGAACATACAATAGTGTTTCCTGGGGTTTTCTCCACATTAGAAGTTTGGTCTTCAAAATCCTGCCAAAAACACTCGACGACACATGAATGCATGCAACCAAATTGAGATATTTCATGGATGTATATGAAAATAATCATTCATGAGCACCCTTTGTTCAGAAACAAGTCTGCCAGGTAGGTCACAAAACATTTAGCATGAACAAGAGCTTATATGTAGCTGGATTTACGAAACTCATAGGACAATGAAAGGGATGAGTGAATTAGAGGTATATAGATTGCACCATGTGTACAAGCTACATACAACAATTTTAGCCCCAGACGTGCCTCGTAACCCGAGAGTCAATCATCAAAGTAAAAATTATTTAATGCCTACATCCATTTGCAAAATTGAAACCACCTTCAGTGGAAAATAATTGTGCATAAAGAAACCAGAAGCATTTTAAACATGGTTTTATTTGTGAGGAATTAGTATGGAAAGAATAATATATTACACAATATGTTTTTACACATAATTATAAATTACCTTTATGACCCACTCCCTTGTGGCAGCATGGTAACACAAATTGCGTAACACTCGATGGAGTCGCCCTGTATTGAGTTTTGGCTCATCCACAAACAGCAGAACCAAGAGACATGACATTGCTTCATAATCCAAGAGTTGCCTGCCTCGCAACCTACGGAAAAACAGTGTGTTGTATTGTTATTTGTTTGAGGCGTTTGATTTGTCAGTGAGACGAAGGCTGAAAACACACACATGAAACCACCACCATCTTTCCTTACCTCAAATTTCCTGATGAGAGTGCACTAAGGCCTGGATGGGCCTCTTGACGCGAGTTCCACGCCCCCCATTGGGCTCGCTGTGGTACAGTGTGAATGGCATATCTTGTTGTGCCAACACGACCTGCAACCCAGAGTGGTATATAGTAAATGAAGACCAACCTTCACATATATTTTGGTAACATCTGTAACCAGGGCACATCAGTCAGTGATGTTTCCTCACTTCCAAAGACCCATATGCAACTTCAGAAGCTTCTGCAGAACGCATTCCAAAATAGACTTCATTACTGCTAGAGTGAACATCATAAAGAGTCTCAGATGACAAACTGTACAACCTATTATAACTGCGTCTTACCAGTGCCCGAGCTTCGAAGGATTGACGACAAAGCACTGCTACTGTGGCTGACATGACCAAATAAGCGTTCTTGCATCAACTGTCGGTTACGAGTCTCCCACTCACGGCGGAGATTCTGCGCCTCTTGAGCTAGGTCAGGTGGAAGAACAGATATCTGCGAATCCTCCATGTCAGTCAGGATCTAAAGAGGGAAAAGACCAACTCCCATGTACTATCCATTAGGACAAATTCTCAATTATAACCTACGATATGGTGAAAGATGCTGAGCAGTCTGATTGGCTCTGCTCATCCTTCCCCGCAGTGTTGAAATTAATTAATTAATCTCCAACTCTCCCCCATCAACATATTTTCCACTTCTTTATCTCAGAGAATCATGTAAATATTTTTGTAATTTTTTAAGAAAGATGTTTTTAATTTGATATTTCAAATCTTTCATCTTTCCGAAGTATAGTCACTTAACTGCATGCAGGGAATCTTTGTCTTTTGTATACCAAAGTTCTGATAAGAGAAAAAGTTTGCACTTATGTACAAACAGTGGCAGGAACTCTTCATGTGTAAAAGTTGGAAGTTAAAAAGTCACAGATGACACCAACTTAAGCAACTAAAAATACAAAGGCCAATAAGAAGACCGCACCATGCTGTCAATCACATACAGTGGAAAATCATCTGTTAAGACCTAATATCTGCTCACTTACTGCCTGCCTCAATGAAGGCTGAAGGTTATGGAAAAATGCTGCTGCATCTACCGGATCATTTGGATTCGCCGCAGCGGCAGCTTGCCTTTGCTGCTCTAGTCGCTGCTGGGCCAACACTTCTTCCTGGATTGCTGGTGGCAAAGCAGCCAAGAACTCAGGGTTCACTTCTGTCACACTTGGGGGAGCAGCTTCAGTTGACTGCTGCTGTGCTCTCTGTCGCAAACGTTGCAGCCTAAAAAAGAAAACAATTCATCCAGTAACAGCTTAATCATAACTCCACTTATATATATACACACACATATAATAAATGAACAGTTAAAAACTTTAATTTTTATTCCAGAAAAACTAATTTCTTAAAAAAATAATTGAAGGCCAACAATGCAATCACTACTCTGTATTGTAACTGAATTCCATTCATAAATCTTGCATACTTTGATAGTTTGTGTCACAAGCAGACATGTCCTCAATGGATTCCTTCAATTTTGGGAACAGATCAAAGTCTAGCGGACTGAGTAAGTTATTCAAACTACAATCTTCAAATGGTCCAGAAAATCATGACTTAAACCCTTAAATGGAAATTCCATAGCACAGAGGGTTCTGTACCTCAGCTGCTCTGCGATCACTTCCTCCCGCATTTCATCTGGCAAAGCAGCAAGGAATGAGGGATCAACGCCCTCTGGAATCTCTGGAACCAAATCACTGTTTGCAGATACTGGCTCTCCACTACTGCTCCCAGGTAATGGAGGTGTTTCACTGCCTCTGGTGTTCACACTGAAATTGTGATTAAAGTAAAGAAATCTGAGGTCTGAGGTTCTCCTGGTAACAAAGATGTTCTGGATTATATGGTTGCTATCAATGTTTTTCAGGAACACACCACCTCTACATCTTAAGAGTTCAATCCTGAAGATGCAGGCAGTTCATTCTACCTACATGATTACATGACATGGTATCACAATCCATTAAAGAACAATCTACAAAATGTGGACACTTTTTGAAACATAGAAATTACGACATCTGATCACACTACACAAACATTTACATTCAAAAGGGAAAATGTACCTGTTTTCAAATTCCGGTACAATTCCGTGGCTCCCGGAGTCATACTGTGGCTGGGATGGGAGACAGGAAGACTGCTCTGGTATGTCACCTTCTCTCTGCTGCTGGGACACCCGTGCTTCAACATGAGACCTCAGCCAGGATGCAGCTGCTTCAAGGTCCAATGACTCTGATCCATTCACTGGATTGTGAACTCCATTAGAGACTGCACTCTGGATGTCTTCCAACTCTCTGACCATTTCCAGTCTTGATATGTCTGCTTCTGCGTCTTCCATTTCATTCAGCAGCCTGTCAGTGGATTCAAAAGAAACCATGTCCACAGCTTCCTGAAGATTTCGTGGGGCACGTCCCGCCCTACGAATGCTTTCAAGAAGCGTGTGAGAGGCACTCTGATGCGGATAGGCAACTGGCACCTCGTCATCTTCTTCCTCCTCCTCTTCATCATCATCATCCTCCTCCTCCTCATCTGCAGCCTCAGTTATTTCCATGTTGACAACCTCTTCAAGTGGAATCAACGGTGGAGGTCCAGAAACAGAATTCAGATTTGAGTTATCCGAGTCATAATCTGCCTCTGCACGTCCACTATGAACAGACACAGTCCCTTGTGGGGGGCTCCTTGCTTCATCACCATCCTCCCCAGCATCCCTACTATACGAGGAGATAGGAGCAGGTGTTACAGTGTTGCAGCTCTGTGCCAGCATTGAGCCTAGCTGAGTTGAGTCAAGGCTGCTAGCACTGTTTGGATAGGAAGACTCGTACGATGCCTCAGGGCAAGATTCAGATTCAGTCTCTTGACTTATACCACTCAGTGCCATCTGTGTTGCTGTGACAGATGGAAGAATTTCTGATAGAGAACTCAGGAGTCCTGTAGTAAGTTCTGAAAAGTCTGGGGCTTCACTAACACCAGCTCGAACCTCTACGGGCCCATGCTCCATCTCTTGGTCTTCACTTGTATGCTGCTGACTCAGATTCTGTTGAGCATCACCTTCACTGGTGACAGATGATGATGCTGTGGCAGGAGAAATGCCACTAAGGCTCATGGCAGGCCGCAGAACAGAGTCCACGATGGATTCGGCTAAGTTCCCCGTAGCTGAAGCAAGATCTGCCGCAGCTGCAGCAATACCAGTGCCTGAACAACTTGTGTGACTGTCCACGACGCCCAACTGCGCGGCTTGATCGTTGCCAAAGGCGACCTCCATCGCAACTTCTTCAGAAACAAAAGAAAACATTACCCTTACTTGGATCCCATACAGGGGAGAACTATCAATCAAATGAAAGCACATAAATAGTCAATTACAACAAAGATTTTCAGTTACAAATAATTACAAATTATCACAAACTTTGTGCCTCAAGCTATTAAAAGGCACAAGAAATTCAATACATTTTCATTGTGAAACATGTACTTTGACGGCAGAACAAGCACATCAAAAATGGGACATGTAATGAGAGGGCATAACAGATACCTTATACTGCAGTACAATAAAACCAAATTAACGGCTTGAATAGGCAGATTCCGGTTAATCACTTATAAATTTTGTTACAGCACAGAATAATTGTTTTTTTAATATCCAATGAAATGGACATACATACCCCCACTTTCATTCCTTCCACCTTCTTCTGTTTTCTTTTTCTTAGTCTCTTCCTCTTCTTGCTGTTTCTTACGCTTCTCTCTCCTTTCAGCAAGCTCCTCATCACGCAACTTTTCTAGATGGGCCACCAACTCATGCACCACACCTGGAAACATGAAAATGATAACAATTATCCATTCCTGATTTGTGACTATTTTCTATATACATTTTTATTGCAAGACTTTTTCCTTCAAATAACCTTTTACTATAACTAAAAATCAGCTTATCACCAAGCAGCCATCATTATGGCATATTTTTATAAATGTGTGGTGCGTCCCTGACTTTATATAAAAAATATATATATCACCCACATAATGAAACAATACAGAGGCAAAAAGTTGGTATCCAGTCAAAATGCCACATAGTGCAATAACCCAGAATACCATCACCAACACCCATATTTCTGGTTTTTGTTTCACAGCATCATTTTGTTCACACATTAAATTCCTGATATCACCACAAATGATCAATCTGTACAGTGCTAATAGCAATTTCAAGAAAGCCAATGATTTAGTTGTGCATATGCTTCAAGTGGAGCATGATGACAAACTTGTCGTGACGAGGCACACGCAACACGCACCGGTCACACAATCAGCGCTAGAATCCCCATCCAAAAGCTTGCACTCCTCTGTCCACCAGTGCAGGGCAGTGGGTATGTTGTTTAATGTGGCAGCCAAGCTCGGGCCAAACAGATAACCGGACTGGTCCTAAACAAAACAAATAAATTAAAAAATAGAACAAGTGTAAAATTTACCACTTATGCAAATGTGCATTAAGAAAACAGCAATTTAAAACAGTCCTCCAAACCTGTCAGAAAACAATGGAACAAAACACAGGCTATTTTTTAATACATAAACATACACAAAGCTACAGGATTTATTTATCATAATTCTTATGAAAACAATTAAAGTGAAAGACAAAAATTATTATCTGCCAACTTTGGAGTTCCTCTCCTGTATATATTGCTGTCTGGATTATGTAAATTATATAAATAATTAAATGAGCTGAAATTTGTTATGGGTCAATTAATTACATATTATGTAATTGGATCTTTAACACTAAGAAACACTGCTTCCTTTCCTTGCCAAAAAGTTCAATCAGGAGTGCATGATATTCATACACCTTCTCTACACAGTGTTCAATTTGTTGGTTCAATAGAGAAAAACTTATAGATGGGTTTGCAAAACAGAGCATACCACAAAATCTATTTGTTCTTCTTCTGAGTTGGTTAAGATCCCCAATCCATTATCCATGACTACCACCCTCGTATCACGGAAGGTTGAAGCAAGTGCCTGGCTTGCTGAAGCAGGGAGGTCATGAGCCGCTGGCCCCAACAGCCTGCATAAGAACAAGGTAAATTCACTGTTCTGCCGCAGATGAAACCATTATAAGCATTAACTTCCAAACCAAACAGCATCATAATATACCTCTGAAGTATCACAGGTGGGTTTGGGTTCTGAGGGCTCGGTTGGAAAAAGTGGTATCGCCGCTGCCGATTGGCACGCTGGGCCCGTGAACTTGTGATACTTCCTACTTCTAGATTGTGACGTGCCATCAATAACGGATGACTTGGAGTGATCGGATGCAAAGCTGAAAATATACCATAAAACCACTAACCCAATGAAGAATATAAATGATACAAAATAGTCCCAATTATGCAAGATCGCCAAAAGTTTAATAAATACATTCTTGAGAAAAAATGCTATATAGCATATTATCACAATAAGACAAGGATAAATTGGTTAGCCAGAAACACAATTACCATATAAGGAGGGGATCTACTGAATGCAATTTATGACGGGTGCTATCTGAAGGAATTTCGTAACATGTCCTGCATCCGTGACTTATGTCAAACTACACAAGTGTTCATGCAAAATTCAATGCACTTACAGTCAAATTAACAATTGTCTTGTTCCACATATACAAATGAGCAATCATAAAATTCTAAAACATTGTCATTATGTTCTACGAAAATCACCCAAAAATATCCCCAGAGAACAAATAATAATGACCCCATACACAAATTTCAAAGCAACAGTTGCAAAACGCAAAACACACCAGACATAAATTTACTCAAGGATTCTTGTAGATCACTCATACACCATGTCCACAATATAACCTACCAAGCACGATCATTATTAAGAAAAGAAAATGTTATCCAGCAATCAATGTAATAATTAAAACCACATTACATCTATCAAGCAAGGGAACCCTACCTGTGTTTTCATTTCCATTCATAGGCTCCTCAAAAATTCCAAATGGCAGTGGGAATGTATTGGTGTTCCACGGAACAAGAGGCCCAGATCCAGACGGATCAGGATCAGAATACTGAATCATTAGAATATCTTCGTTTCTGTCCAAACCAGGAATACGAAACAATCCCTCATCTGATTCAAAGAATTCAAGCCCATCCTCATCATATCCTGAACCCCCTTCCTCGTCATCCTCATTGTCACCTGCAAACACGTAAATATTATTTCAATGCCAAGTTCACCTGGAAATAACTACAGTACATCAAACAACTTTTACAGACATCAACAAACAACAAAATGCCATTAACAGAAATTATGCCATATTACTGAAGACTTTATTAAAATAAATAACAGCAGCATTATAAAGGTCAAGACTGATTAACCCAAAAGCATTTTTACTTCACAACCAACAATTCATGTCCTAATAGCACTGTCATACTTTGAAGTAACCTGCAATTTTTTTAAATATTCACAGCAATTTTTATCTTAATTTGGTGTAAATTTCAATTCCTAGCAAAGTGGAGTATCTCAGTATGTTTAATTAATTTCACAGCAACTTGTATGCAGATTAAGTAACTCCCTACTTCAGCTCACTTACTTTAGTGTAAGAAAACAATCAAGAATTAAATCCAAAGCGTACCATCATCGTCGTCGTCATCTTCGTCATCATCGTCATCGTCGTCGTCATCATCATCATCCTCCACGTTTGGTATTTCTTCAGACGGATTTGTGTCAGAATCTGACTCGCTGCTTTCAGCACCATCTGCATCCTGAAATGAGTAAAGTAATGCTCTTTCTGCTCACGATGCGAATAAGCTATAATTAAAACTGTTCGCAATCTTCAACCGAGTGTTTTAGGATGGGACGAGCAGGACAAGAGTAACAAAGAACTGCATACAGAATATCGGCTGAAATATCATCAAGGAGACCCATGCACTGAGAAGATAATAGTAAAATAGGTCTTATATAACACTGATGTAACCACGATAGGGTCTAATGTAAGGCCTCTGCAGTAAGGGTCATAAACACTGGCACTGCAAAATACCTTGTGCCAAGTTATGTCTACGATACATTAAAAATACATTTTAATTTTAATAATAATCATCCTGAGTTTCAGAAGGGATGCATTTATATATGAACTCTTAAAAGGTAAGACTGTGAAAGTCAAATCGTTTTAATGTCATATAAAATGAGGTTTCCCATTAACACAAAATAAAATTTTTTTTTAGTATAATCTTGTATGCTTGCTAGGAAATTTCACTAGTTACAAATGTTTTCATTGACTGCAGTAAATAAACTTGAAAACATACACACAAAGCACTCAATGTTTTTATCATTCTACAGTAAATCTGAAATGAAACTGGCATTCAAGAAACATACTTTCCCTCAAAAGGAGGTTCACATTAACTTGCAGCAGTACCTGCGTGTCATCCTCCTCATGCTCAAATGCCGGGTTGCTCTGACTTCTTACAGGACATTCATTTTCAACTTGAGCAGGTGGACCCTCACGCTCCAAATTGAAAGTAGAATCCAATATATTGTCGTCACTGGAGCCACCTTCCCTGCAATAGAATCAATCTGAGTAAGTTTATTTAATTTATTAATGTTTGTTTATTCAAGTGAACATATATTCCAAATCCCCTCTTTACAAGTAAAAGTACTTAACCTATCTAACCCGGTGTCCTACGTGAGCGATTAAATGCGAGCGGTGCGATTTGCGTGGGTGAAGCGGAAATATCAAACTGGCTGTTTGTGTGGCGCTGTCCTAGGTCACAGCGAATCAGTCAAGAGAGTAAAGCGGCCGGATTCCGAGATCAAATATTTTGATATTTTCGCGCAGGTCGCTGCGCTGGCCAGTAAGGAGCATGCGCAGATAAGCTCTGACTGTGCAGTACAGGGAAGGGGCATGCGCAGGAAGGCCGTGTGTTTCTCTCACCTAGGACACAACAAGCGATTCCCTTATGTCATATGACACCCCATGCTGCTTATCCAGCTCGCTTCTTATCGCTTACGTAGGACATTGCCTAAGACTTAACTGAGGCCATCAGTTCTTACCAAGTCAAGACTAAATTCACATCTTGGGTAAATTACGCTAAACAGGATTTTTTTTAAAAAAATCAGTGTGTTTTTGCCACGTATCAACTTAAAAATGTCCACAAATACAGAATAATGCATGTGCATTAAACTTTCTAGTGAAGATGGAAAGATAATAAAATTAACAAGTGATGCAAATCGCTTCTGAAGATGAAACAGAGCTGAACACGAATAACAAGAGGCTGGTGAAAAGCGCATGAGGAGCTACATAATTTGTAATATAAAATCAGAGAACTCGTTCCATCATTAGCAATGAAATTCATGTACAAAACATATTTTAAAGTTACAAGTTGTAGAGGTTGTTTATACACTGAAGATTTAAATGAGTAAAAGTGAAGAGTGGAAGGCATACCGGTCCAGTAACTGCTGCATAATGTCTTCCAAACCAGCTACATCATCAGCTCCCTCCTGAACCTGACAATCAGATGTTGGTTCCAGGCTCTCAGCTGCAGCTGATATGTCATGCTCTGTGTTTTCTGCATCTTCCACTGTCTCCTCCCCTTGTGCATGAGTGGCTTCTGACGTAGTCGTGCCCGTCAGTATATCCCGACCTGCACACACATAACATAATACAGGCCTACAATAATTTGACAAGCAGTAACGCTGTCCAAATAAAATCTGTTATTTGAAAAACCGTGAAAACAAGAGGGCTGGAACTGAATTTACATTCTATTCATTTTGAAGTAAAATAAATTTGTATCTGCAATCTGATCCTTTCCCTCACAAATTTGATCAGACGGCTACTTCCTAGTTTGAACCATTTTCTGTTGGGCAATCTGACAGATCAAATACGTATCTTTCTTCTTCTAGTATTGTTTGTTTTTATATCAGTCGATGTACAAAAGTCAAACACTTATACCAATTGGTTTTCACATCTACATAATTACAGGTGGTTTACATTTCATTTTGCGACTGGCTACATCATAAAGTATGTTATCAGAAGCCAGCAAGGATAGTGCTGCAAACATGGATGTAAGATCACTTACAAAGCATAAATATTCATGGCAACCAACCAGTTACAAAAATATTCAATAAAATGTGACATATTTTGAAGCAACAAAAACCACTGAAATGGTAGGAAAATTAATGGGACTGAAAAAAGCTGAAATTACAGGGATACATAAATACTAAGTTCTACTCTATATATACATTGCATAATACCTAATTTATCATTACTGTAATCCTTCTATACTAATTTCTATGTTAAATGTCTGTTTGAAAATTTCTTTAGGCAGAAGAAAACAACAGACAATTATTTTGGTAACACATGAAATTAGAGCAACGCAGCATGGAAGATGAAATCATGGTAGTGACAGACGTTTGGAACTGCACATACACAGTGTGCACAGTGATAAACAGTGTCACATGGGAAGGAGAAAAGCTGGGCATGCTTTGTCTGTCTTAGTCTCATTCCAGCCATTACAAAAGTTAGCTCTTCATTTATGTAGCATCTTTCATACACAGACCTACACAAACAGTAAAATGACAGTACACAGACAAAACATACCTTCACACTTCACGTACAACAGATGGCATCACAGTGGGTACAAAGGCTCCTATATCTATAGGGAGGCATTTAACTACTGTTCATGTAGGTTATCTTTAATAAAAATTCTTGAAAATAAAATGTACCGTGAAACCATCTTGCAAAGGCACTGCTACACTTTACTCATTTCCCATTCCATTTTCCACCCTCTATTTCAAGCAAATTCTCAGGCAGGCACCTGGAATTAGTTATTGGATGGCTGGTGGTGGTGGAGGTGACGGTGGCAGAACATGTCAAAGTGACAAGAATTTCTACGTAAGCCCTTGCATCTCTAATGAATAAACACAGCATTTAAATACAATGAACTATCAACATTGATATAAAACTGTCGAAACAGATGCAAGGAAGAATTATGATTTCATATACTAGACCTGTATGATCACCAGCTGGTTCCTCGGATACACTTCCTTGAGCTTTCTGTTTGCCGACCTTGTTGTTACTCGTCGTACTTGGCTGGTTCACTATTCGAGATAATGTCTCCAGCGGCTTCAAAGCGGCGTTGACAGATGCTGGCATGTTCGGACTCGACAGGTCTAAATAGTGTGAAACTCGTGCCAAGTCAGTGAGGATCCCTCTCCTGAGCATGATCCGCACTATGTTGTTCATGTGACTACTGCAATAATTCAGTAATATAATACAGTCTTGATTTCCCTTACTGCAAGCACATGGTAAATGAGCAGAAACAGCAGTCACTTCCATGACGCCCTACTCATTAAAAAGCTCTTCCACTGATGTCAATGACAAAATTGTGGGACGGAGATGCAGCCACTTCCATGACGCCCTACTTATAAAAAAGCTCTTGCTGGACTCTGAGTGTCTGACTTTAAGTAGTTCCACTGATGTCAATGACAAAATTGTGAAAGCAATAAATGTTAAAGTTATACATGAACTCTTTGAAGAAAACATAATCTGGCTCATGTTTTCAGAAAGAGGTCTAACAGTGATAAGTTCTGAATGTGTTATCTGTTGTTCATGCATATTATTATTTGTTTTCATTATATTAAATTTTGTTGCCCTTGGTGAACTAGTGGTTAGCGTGCTTGTCACTGGACCCAAGGTTAGCGGGTTCAAACCCGACGAAGGACGATGGATTTTTTAAGGTGATAAAAGTCTGTAGCACAACTTCTTTCGGAGGGGAAGTGAAGCTGGCGGTCCCATGAAGTAGATTTACGGCATGTAAAAGAACCTTATGAGCATGATACGTGATGTTTTGTAAGCAAAATTCTGCGGACATTTTTCAACCAAATCTCTCCTGATTCACTATTAGATGGCTCTGGTAGTCAAAATCAGGATTGAGTAGAAATGTCCACAGTCAGTGGGCTGGTCACTCATACTTACAAAATCACATATCAAAGACCAGGAAACCTCCGAAAAAGAGGCCCTATGCTCTGGAAAAGAGCGATAGGAAATAAAGAAAAGAAGAGGATATTAAATTTAAGTTCTTTTAATAAAAGTTGGCTTCACAGATTGTACCAAAAAAAATCAGTGTTTTGATTGCACTGTTACCCCGTTACTTCAACCAAATATCCAGCAGGAAATTTCACTGCAAAAATGTAATTTGAACATTTAATATTTAGCCCTAAGCAGTTCAAATGAATGAGGTTTTATACTGCTGTACTGAACATTTCTGAAAACTTTCGGTGTAAATGTGAATGTGGACTAAGATTTAATGAGCAACTTCCTACTGGTAAATATGGCAGGATGGCTCAGGCTATAGTTGCATACTTGCGAATCTAAGCAAGCAAAAATGTTTTTCATAGGCATTACTTCTGCCACTGCCTGTTAGCTGATGACACAACTATGGTTTTGCATCATATTGTAATTATTCTAAAACATATTAATTAAAACATTACAATTTAAATACTTTCAATAAATTTGACATACACTGTGCAGGGACCATTTTAAACAAAAGTGTTCATAGACATGTAATAAGAATTTTTAAAGCAACAGGCGGTACTGCAGAATTTAGGTACCCATTTTATTTTTTAAAATAAATCAACTACATCTATTTATAGCTTACCTGTACTGATGAAGCTTCAAAGATGCACTAAGAGGGGTGTTGTTAGGTGTTGATGGGCAGTTATCTATCATTGTTGAGATAAGACCTGCTAACAGCTGAATCTGAGTATGTTTGTCAGCTGACTCAGGGAGCGCTAATGTCCGAAGCAACGCGCCCTTAACCTGCAAACCAGTCAAAACAATTTGGATATGAAAGACAATGAACAAGCTGATACAAATATAGTGGATATTTTTAAAGAAAGTGGAAGTACAAAATTTCTACCAAAAAATTTGTGTGTCACCTATATGCAACGGCAAGCTGTTAAGAACAGTTCTGGAAAGCAAACTGCATGCAACAGTTCAGTCCCACACATCTACGAATATCAACAAATTTTCAAGAAATGGAAGGGGCAACCTAAGAAAGACTCAAACTGAAATATTCCATACAGTAAATGCAGACTGATATTAAATTATGACGACAGACATTTAGTGCCTAGTCAAACTAATCATCACCTCTGTAACTAGGACAGTCTGGGCATCTGGGGAATGATTGCACGAGGCCAAAGCTGCAATAAGCATTCTCGCCATCGATGAACACTCCCGATCCGCAGGGTTGTCATTCACTGGCAACAGTTTATCCAACATGAAAGCAAGTGCAGAGCAATCCTGTAATAGAAACCACCTTTGTTATCACTTGAACGAAGTTAGAACAAAGTCCAAATTTCAGGATGAAACTGCCACACGTGAGATTTTATAAACTTCAGTAAGTAACAAATAAACATCATCCAAATGCATTCAGCTAAGTGCAAATCATCTCAAGTTGCACCTTACCTCAGTTACCATCTCACTTTGACCTGCACAGTACGAATGATCAGTTATGAGTTTCGCACAACCAGAGTACGATCTCACGGCTTCTGCAAGAATCTTAAGTATTGCACTCTTTGGTAGTAAAGGTCTTTTCTTCTCTTCCTCGTTCACTTTTGCGTAAGTCACCAAATCCTCCTTTACTTTCTTCATATCCAGCTCCTGTGTCTGAAAACAAAAACAGAACATAGTACCTCAAATGCGATTAAAATAAACTCGTCATTCTCAAAATGGCAACGACATCTTAGGGTAAAAGTAATTACTGTCATTTCAAAAAGTACAACAGAACAATAAAACTGCAAGTTGAATGACAAAAGGAGGGTCTGAAATGGACACCATGAATCGAAAACCCTCAAATATGAAATTGCACTATTGGGCAGAAACATAACATGTCAAGTGTTTCATTCAAGGACCCCCACAGAACACAAGAGGGAGGCTATCAAGGATAAAGTGTAGCGACAATCAATGATACTATTTGCAGCTGGAGAAAACTGGCTCACGTGTGGTCCATGAATGACTGACGATGTTATTTATAACAATCATGAGCCCAGGCAACTACTAAAACATTACAACAAGAAAATTATGATCTATTCAAAGCCCTGAATTATGTGAGGATCAGCTGGGGAAGTACTACAGCAACAGTACAACTGGTTGCCTTTTTGTTATATTTACCCTGTCATCCACTTCATGATGCAGAAGGTCACTGGAACTGGAATTGCGAAGCAGTTCCTGCCGCAAGCTTTGCTGCACAGCAGTTGAAGCTCTCTGGGCATGCCCTACAAGCTGAAGGGAACTACTGTCACTGATGGCCATGCTAGAGCACGATGCTGAACCAGATGCAGTGCTACCAACCACCAGACCTGAAAACACAAAATTTAGGGTCCCTGATATCATTACACTCACGTGTACACAGACACATACAATTTATGATACATTTTATATCACACTGATTGGAAAATATGTTTTACATTTTCAAAATAATGGTGTTGTATTGAACACCTGTAATCACTTAAAAGACAATTACATAAATCTATGTTCTGTTATTAGTAGACTTTCCGGTCTTAATTGACCTTCAACAGGTGAAGAACCCCTTACTTGTTCTGCCTGATAAGTCACTCCCTGAATCTGTTGAGGGTCCTGGCAACACAGTATTCAGACCAACAGAGGAAGCTACAGATGAATCCTCACTAGGTGTTGGTCTAATCAGACAATTCAGTAAGTCATAAACTACAGTAGTGGACACCTCCTCCTGCATAGGCAGCGCCGGTGTGTGCTTTGTTGGAAGCGTCTTCAATAGTAGCCGAGTGTCCTCTTCCTCGTCTAGCAAATAAAAGACACTAGTGTAAGTACCAAATTGTGGTATCACTTGGAGCATTTACAGTACGAAGGATTTGAGGTTTTCACAGCAGTGAAAGATTGCTGTCTTCTGGGTTGTTGCGCCATGTAGTCTGGTAGATGTCCACCAACGTTTCAGAGGTCACGTTGCCTCCATCATCAGGACATTACAAAACATTTCAACTTGAGAAAAGTCATACAGTGATGCTGAAGAGATACTTACAGACTATAAATATTCACTCATCCTACAAAACTTACTTCTTTTTGAAAGAATGTTCAGGTCTACACGAAGAACAGAGCGAGCCACCTCCAGGAAAGTCTCAGGATCTCTGGTGACAATAGGAGGAGAGTTTCGAAGCAAGTACAGAAGTTCCTTGTAAGGAGGGGGAATGTTGGGCAGTGTTCTTGTCCTCAGCACCTAAGAACATGGATGTAAGATATAGTAAGTACCAGCCACAGATAGCTAGTCTCATTTCCAAGAATGTAAAGTTTAATTTTCATATAATGATAACTTATAAAATTTGGAGAAATGCCCTTTCTCATGTGTACTTGTTTCTCCAAAACGTTTCGAATACATAATCTGCAAGTACATCTTTGACGTAAATCACACTCTCGGGAAAAGATTGCATGAGGCTAATGGTGCAATGAGCATCCACACTAATGATGAGCACTTTGGGTTCAGCTACCAGCCTGAGCAGATCATTTAAACACACAGATTAACGGAAGATGACGGTTATGTTTTCACATTTCACATCATGACAATACTGTAGTTTGGAACTATCCCAAATCACAGTTTGTCACACATTCCATAGAAGAAGACACGAGTACTACTTTTGTATCATTCACATTTCAGTTACTGGCACCATGCCAAACAGCAGTATCATCAGTTCAAAATATGTAAATCTTCCAAACAAAATGTAGCTCGGTGAAAGAAAATGAAAACTGATTTCTGTGTTGTGGAAGAGGACACAGTGTGATAAACATTTCTCACTGCATAAGATTTGGAGTTACTCAACAGTAAGATTCTGGAATGCACATTTTCTATTCCTAGACAGGCTTAGAGGACAGGTGAACAGTATACTTGAGGACCACTCACTATGAACAGTTTTGGAAGCAAAAAGGGCAAGTAAAGCTGATGTCAGAAGCGATGGCTAGTTACAAATCACTTATTATGACATGCGCTGGAAGAAAACTCTCATTCAGCACATTTTTAGGTCATACTTACTCTGCAGCTACATTAATCACGGTGTTCAGACAATCTTACAAATCTGTTAAGATCCGACAAGATACAGTATATACAGTGATTCTGGTTTACATGAACAATACACATTAAAATGCATAGCTACTAATGGGTCATTTTCATATTGACTTTGCCAGTCAACTTGATGTGAAAGAATGAAAACTGAGAAACAATTTTTGCTCCTGACGTACGATTTGCAACCATGGTACACACTGCATCCATAAATCAAGCACCACCCCAATTCCTCATACCCACTTAAAACAAGTCTTACATTACACACAATACAAAGAAACTAACCTTCTCCATCGCATGACGCAGAGTGCGTGGCTCTTCCATTACATGACGAATCAACAGCGTGGAGAGACTGAGGAACCCGGTGAATGACGAGGCCTGAGTCAAGTTCAGAAGCAGCCGCACACCACCCAATCCGCCAAATATCATTGCATTTTCAAAGTTGCGTGTCAACCGCAGACAGACCCTCATTACTGCATGAAGTGTGTCTCGATCCACAGGAATGGCCAACAGTCCCACACAAGCTCTGAGGGAGTGGGGGAAGAGAAAGCAACTTAAAACAAGCTGCAGTACACTTAATCTTAAACACGAACGTATTCATTAGAACAACAATTTTAAATCATAAAAGTCTTATTGTACGGTGTCACTCAGAGAAGAGCCAAATTAAGCACTTACCTGACAATAACTGATGTGTCACACCTTTCCAGTCCTTGAACTACAACATTCCTCTTTCTCTCTCTTTCTTCTGACCCACTTGGATCTTCAACTTCCATCTTCTCAACCTTTTCCTTTTCATAGTTCTTATCTTTAGGGGCATGATCCCTACCTTCTGCTCTCTCTCGTTCTAGTAACGACATTGTAACAGGTCGGCGGTTTGCAGTCTCCTCATTCACCTACAAGTAAGACATTGAGACTGACTGCATGTCACCTAACCCAGTAAATTTTTTCAACTTCCTTTCATAAAATAAGCTCAACACTCCACAAAATTTGGAGACAACCTCTCAGCATACCCCAGCTACAATAGTTTTACAGAAAAGTATTTCCAAAAAAAGTTAAAAAGCATTTACGCAACAAGCTGGTAGTTTTAATGTAAACTCTATCAGTACCAAAATCATTCATGACTACCAAGTCATTTTGCATGACTGGCATGTGATTCCATTTCTTCACAAAAATTACATTAAGAAAAGTTGCATTTTTGAAAGATCCAAGCACCCAATATTCAATAAAGCAAGCTCTGCTGTGACCTCACCAATTCACATGAAACAGTTACAGGTGCAGATTCAAAATGTAAGCACAGCGATACTTATATATTAAACCAGGGTGTTTAAATGCATGAAACTTGTGCATCACTCAGAGAAATCACCGATACCTGGCTCATGGCTCCAAATTGAATCATGTATCTCCTGCGGCCACAGGTGACCCGCACCATGCTGTCACCATTCCAGTACGCATCATTGATTAGCTTGTTGTTGCTAGATGAGTAAGTGGTCCACTTGCCAGATGTCAAATCAAACCACCTCCAGATGCGATTTGTAACCTGTGAATCGATATTATTAATTACTAATCCAGCTTATTTAAAGTAAAATATAAATTATTTTACATAAAGAGTATTTAATGGTATTATTACTGGAAGAATATACACGAATAAGAAATAATGAATTTAATTTCTTTTATAAGTACATTAAAAGTTTCACTTTACTAAAATATTAATCATGATCACAGACTTCTAGGATTAATCTTACTACTGGCAATATATAAATAATAGGAACAAAACTGTTTAATTCTCCGATGACAATTACAAGGAAAGAACAGGAGTTTTCACAACCTAACACAAAGCAAGCAAAAGTTGCTGCAACTGAAATATATCTGCCAAGTTCTGTGGTATCAAAGAGAAATACAATTTAAAACTCCTATTTGCTTCTGGCATTACTGAAACATAGAGATGTTGTGCCATGTTCCAGCTAATCCTTCCTCCTCTCTTCACATTTATTAGTGTGGCTGGCTTGAAACTATACCATCACTGGAATCAGTAGCCCATTCTTCAATATACAATGGCTTTCTCTTCTCCGAACAATACCCAATGAGACTCGGGTAATCTGCTAAAGTTGCCATATTTTTAAGTATGTTAAAATGTCAATATGCCAGTGTCCCACAAAAGGTTAAGAGAAAGATATGTCCAATTCTAGGGACTTTCTGGTAGAATAAACACTCTTATGTAATAAATTTTAAATCACTTACCTTGTACATTCTGTCTCGTCTTTGTGTGCACATTGCCACTTTCTCAAGCAAGTCGATGAGTAGCAAGAGGGGTGCAAGCCACTTGGGTGTCACAACCTCACCACAAGCTGTGAGGGCTTCCTGGCCCTGTACCAAGAGCTGGACAAGTGACGGCAGAATATGGGACCTTTGCACGACTTGAGCACAAGGCACACGCATCTCCTGAAAGACAGGACCCTGGGTCCAGAACAAAAGTCCATATTTACAAAGTACAGCGAGCATATGGCAAAGCATTCTGAAAATTATTTCAACAACAGAAAAAATCAGTTGACAGAAAATGTGGCTCAAAATTTGGTAGATGAAAACTTATCCACAGTAAGGGTCAGTAAATCACTTTCATGTATGTATTCATCTCACGCACAACGTGCAAAGAAAGCATGTGGAAAAGAAGAATACCAATGGTACTCAAAGAATAATACACAAATTGTACAAACTCATGAATTACATTGAAGTAACCTGTCTCGAAAGTTTCTACAATCATAATATACAAATGTAAATGGTCAGGTATGATGCATTCATAGATAACCCTGAACCAGGAGCTAAGTGTTTCTTCCCTACCTCAAACAGCAAAGTGAACAGATGAATTCGCCCTGTAATTTTCAGAGCAGCATTTGAATTCATCAACTCAGACACGATCTGGCTGGGGCTCTCTCCTGTCCGCATAATTTCCAACAGGTATTTGGCTTTGTCAGAAATCTGAAATATATTATATACACTGATAATTAAATAAAGTACTTTCAATAATTACTGTAATGCCTAAACATTAGTTGACAATTTTAAAACCTAGACCAGTCATCAACTTGTTCATTCTTTCCTATTTGCCAAATGTTCGACATAACCTGACAGACAATCAGTTTCCACATATCATCTTGTTTCACACATTAGTTAATATCGTTCAGTAACTGAAGACCCTGCATATACCTAGTATGTATTTCTCATTTCCTAATTTGCGCTGCCTGCCCATCTCATTTGCCTCGATCTGATCTTCTTAACATCTGGCAAATTAAGAACTTCCTTGATATGAAATTTTCCCTAGCCTCCTGTTACTTCTGACCTCTTAAGTTCAAATATTCTCCTCAACTCCCCAGACACCCCTAAACTTTCTTCCTTTAATGTAAGAAATGAAGTTTCAAGACCATACAAACCACCATGTAAAATAACAGTTTTTTATATTTCAATCTTCACATTTTTAGCGGATGGGAAGAGGCAAGAATCCAAGCTGAACGGCAGCAGGTAATCACTAAGTCTGATCTACTTTTAACTTAAATGTAAAAGTAATTTACATTTGTTACTCTCAACCCCAAATATGTTATGTGCATCTCCACAAAATGGTGGTGCATCCTCAGGATATGGATAAAGATGGACTCCAGATAGTGCAAGCAGACTGTGGATAGAGATGGACTCCAGATAGTGCAAGCAGACTCAATACACAGTTGCAGGCAGCCAACAAGGGGTGCACCTCTGGTGTGGAAGACGGTAGAAAAACTAACAATACATCAACAAAACTCGAACAGTATTTCAAAACACAGGCGCAGTAATGAATTTCCATCAGAAATTGAATTAAATCCTGTACCCTGATATCGTCTCAACATTACTCGTGCTGACATTCAAATTCACTCTCTCCAAAACTGCATGCAATTAAAGCAAAAAAACTAAAGTCCAATTTTGATTCGATAATATCCTACATTAAATGAAAAGCAACTTACATCTGCTACTAGAGTATCCAACATTTCATCACGCCACACCTCGCCGTTGCGTTTTGTGATAGCGATGAGCAGGTCGCACACTCGATACACTGTGTCCGGCAGGGTGTCAATAAGGTTTAGGCAAGCTGCTAAAGCAGTCATGGTGAATTTGTCAATGGCCTCCTTGCTGAGAACCTGTGTTTCAAATTCCTAAGGCAGAGAGTTACAGACAATGTTAAAATTTTCACACATATATATGACGGACAATGCTGAAACACAACACCGCAGAACACACCTCTTTCACTTGCTTGTGCTTTGTGGCATCCTTGCGGTCACAGTCAGCCATTATTTTCTCTCCCAAAGACATAGCTATGGCTCGTAGCATTTGGTCCTCCTCAGTTAAGTCAAGTTCCATGGACACAGTCTGCAAATGAGTGGAGTACAGAGATTTTGATATCACTGTACACAAACTGCTTTTATCTATGCCCTATGTATGTTTCTAAAGAGTTTATTGTCTCTGTCATCAATGACATGAAGAAGCAAGTTCCTTTGAAATGTTGGTTAATATCTATGAGACCACACGGTGCAACAACCCAGAAGACAGCCGTGGAAATACCGATCATCATGACAACCTGAAATCTCACTTTACTCTTTCCGTCTGAGCACCACTGATAAAACCAAATGACTATGCAATCAGGTGTTATCTCTATGAAAACAGTAAACCTGAAATTTTAAAATTTCACAATAAGCAAATAAACCCATAAAACATAATTCTGAAGGTAACGATTGATCCCACAGGGCCATAACTATTGTGATACAACTAAAACAAACATGGTGTCACAAGTACCTGTGTTGTACAAACAAAAGGTGATGGATTGCTCAACAAATAGTCAGTGGCTTGCTCAACATTAGGTGTATGGAGCAGAGCCTCCACACAGTGCTCTCTACTGAAACCCATGTCCATGAGCTGCAGGAGCCACTCCCCATTCACATCGGGTTCAGAACTGTCACTGCGTGGCCGACGCTGGGCAGGTGTGACGGTGGTAGGGCCAGCGCATGAGCTGCTGTTATTGGAACTGTTGCTGCTGCCTTCCGCTCCTCCATGAACCATAAGAGCAATCTCTTTCTCTTTGCCAAGTCGTTCCTGTAAATCGATAATCTTGCAAAAATTCTGCATGTGATTTAAGTCACAAAACTTATTACCAATGACAAAGTTAAAATATGCATAGCGAGAGGGAAAGAACAGAATATTGTGAACAGGGGTAAATAAAAAAAAAGTTGCATCAGCAGCACTAAATAATATTAAAAAACAAAAACATCTGCAAACAAAAACTACAACCAAGCATTTATAATTACAAATATACCATATAACCATATCAAAATATAAAAGTGAAGTTAAATTAATACTGCAATACAAGTTGCATTAGTGATAACAAACAGTTATTATTTTCTGCTGCACTGATAACATACCTTTAATCACAACATCATCTCTCTACTTCTGAATAAAAAACTAATCATGTTCAACACACTGAAGAATAAAATATGCAGGATTTGAGGTTTTCATAGCGGTGAGTCTGAAGATTTCTTGCTGTCTTCTGGATGTTTTGCCTTGTAGTCTGGTTGATGTCTACTAACGTTTCATAGGTCCATGCTGCCTCCGTCATCAGGGCACCCTGATGATAGTGGACATCAACCAGACCACAGGGTACAACAATCCAGAAGAGAGCAATCTTCAAGATTAAAATAATTCAGTCTATGGTCTTATGCGCAGTTACACTGCGTAATATCGTAGACAGACACCAACAGTCTGAAGGACAAGCTGTCTCCACCTTCCTACAAAATTCTGGTATCTGCCTACAGGACTGCACAGTATAACAACCCACAGGACAACAATCTGAACTAATAATGCAGTAAAAACCTCAAATCTGATACAACAGGAATAATGGTGCTCTTTAAGCACCTGGCATCTCATGTAAGAGTCATCTTTTGTTCTCTTTAGACTCGGAAGCTGTCATTTCATTGAACACCACTGTATCTTAAAATGTCACTCCTACTCCAAGAGAGGTAATATGTCCACTGTATGTAGCAAAAAATTAAATACAAAGTAATGGTCCCATCAACACACAAATATAGGAGAAAATTCATAACAACAAAATGTTATATTTGACAATCCTTCTCAATCGGAATTCTACGCCTAAGTAAAGTTTTGCAATTTAAAATAATCTGACACTGACTACACCATATGTCAGTGGATATCTGGTCCATGGTCTCTATACTGTGAACATCTGGATTTGCTCATAGAAAGCACAAGAGAAACATGGCCCACGTCATTACCTCAAGCACATGTAGAACAAAAGATATTCACTCACAGCTATGACTTTCTCCCCACGAAGAATGTGCCGCAAGATGGCCAGCATTGACTCTGACATACGTGCTCCATATGATTTCAATGGCTTCCTGCCCCATATCAACATCACTGCATCAAAGGCAAGCTGAAAATGAACATAATTTTCCAGTTCTTTGTTTGGTGTTCTTTTTTCTCCATACTATTTACAAAGGAATCATGACTTAAACACAAAAATGGCAACTTATAAATGTAAGTCTATGAAATTCCTACATTAACTGGGAGTGATAATGTGTTGGGTAAGGCCGTGGAGTTTTCCTCCGGGGGCCTCCCCGGTTTCTCCGTGCCATCCCAACAATTACTCCACTCACACACAGAAGAAGGCAATGGCAAACCACTTCTGATCATCTGCCAAGAACGTATATGAACAGGTCCCAGTCCGAGAAAAGGATGGAAGGATCCTGTTCATATGGACCTGTCGTCAGACAGAACACTAAATAAAAAATAATAAATGTATAATGTACTTACTTTATGAATTGTCATGAGGTACTTCAGTGGATCGAAAGGCTTGTTGATCGCACCATGCTTCATTGTGATAGTGTGCGGTGAGTCAAGGATCGCCTTTGGATTGACCATCTTTTCAAGGAGCATCAACCAAGCATCAAGGAATTCACCAGTACCATCAATCAAGTCTGGATGTTCAAGACCCTCCTCAACATTCAGGGTCAAACCATTTGACAGAGCCCAATGGAATGTACTGGTATCAAAGAAACCAAGGGTTTTTCACCAAAATTCTTCATCTCCCCAAACCAAGCACATCCTAACCTCAATGATAAATCATGACATTCCTTGCAATGCATTATTCTGAATGGCTCTTTCTTTATACCTCTCAGAACCAAATGTTTCCCTGACAATACTGTTTCAAATACATTCATCTTCCAATGTAATATTTTTTTAGGAAAAAGGATGGCGGTACATTGATGTTATGTCTCGTAATTTTAACACATTCTTGTCTGCATACATTCCTGTTTAAAAGCTTAAAAAACATGGAACAGCAGGCAGAATTCAACAAGCCTTCTTTCTTACCGCGGATATTAGAACTTTTCATTATTTCACCATTTGTTAAGGCATTTCCTAAAGCCGGGCAATTATCATGAGATCTCATGAAGTAGGATACTGTGGTCTGTTGCAGGCAGGGTTACTGGCAGATCAGAAGAACGGGGAAGCACAAAAGATCAGCTAGTGGTTGTAGTGCAAAGGTCACTTCGATGCCCACACCATTTATTTAATTAACATTACATTAATGCCCACACTTAAAATTCTAAAAATACTATTTAAGTTATTAAAATATTTAAAATATATAATAAAATTCAGGTCAATACACAAACTTTATTTAGATGTTAAAATTTAAAATTTGCGCCATTCATCGCTACAACGATGTTACAATAGAGCGCTTTCTTCACTTCGCATCGAAACATGTAGTGAAGAAAGCGCTCTATTGTAACATCGTTGTAGCGATGAATGGCGCAAATTTTAAATTTTAACATCTAAATAAAGTTTGTGTATTGACCTGAATTTTATTATATATTTTAATTATAAAACACAAACATGACGCATTTAAACCTTAAACTTATATTTACGTTATGTTTGGGAAAGATACTTACAATCCACCAATAAAACGCAACACAGCTTATAAGTTAGGATGCTGGGCTTGTACATTTTCTTATCGGAAATTTAAACTGTCTTTACGGTTACCGGTACTAGTGATATTTTATTTTGTGGGAATAATTTATTACATAAGTTATTGTGTACTTCAAAGAATACCCAACAAAACAGAGCAGAGCGAACAACAAAAACAATCATACTACCCAACCACTTCATAATACTTACTCAAAAAAGGCATGCTGACCTCTTAAATGAACAAACTTCTGCAACATTAAATGATATGGATACTTCTTCTCATCAAACAGCATGGGAGATGTAAATCCAACAGAGCAAATCAGGAATGTTAACCTGTGATAAACAAAGGTAGCCGATGTAAAGGAAATATTCCGCCAAATCACACAATCCATCTCAACCACTCAAACATACCAAAATATCTGGTTGCATGTCCATCTACTTCACTGCACTGCAGACTAATTTTTAAGATTATCTGTAAGTGTTTGGTACGCTACGAGAGATGGAAATCATAATTTTCTTTATCCTACTTTTTGCAACTACAAATCTCCTGGTGCCAATATGGAGTTCATGTGGCCCGCTGTGGAATGTGTATGACGCAGCGCATTCACCTGCATTACTCAAACTTCGTAACAAACTTGCCAATTCACAGTCAAAAGAAATGTAGGATTATTCCAATTGCCATCCCACATTTTCAGAACACATACTCATACAATATTTAATAGCACAGCTTCCTTAATACATGCAATCAAATTTCCAAGTGTGATAACTTAAGAGTAACTTCCATGTACATCCAGGACACACTTACTTGAACTTTGGAATTGTTGTGTGGGGCAGCCTGGTCCAGTTAAGGCCATTAGCTAACAAGACGTTCAGAGCAGTGGCTACTGCCCGTGCCGCTGGTGTTGGAAGGGCTGGAGGATTCGGTACTTGCTGACCTCTTCGTGCTCGGATTGGTGACCCAACACAAAGCTACAAGCAAAGCCGCCCATACCAGAAACACATTTCAGTACGAAAAGCAGACATGCATCAATGCACATGGCATACAGTGGGACAGCTTCACTTACTTTACACAGAGTTCTCAGTCTGTACCTCTCTTTGTTATATTTCCAAAAGTGAAATTACTTAACTGGATTTTATTATGACAGGAAAAGAATTCACTTGACCAGTTCCTAGTCATTTAAATGTCACTTCTCAAAGGGTTAAACCACATTATTCAGCTTCCATCATATAATTTGTTCCTTAACTAAGCAATTAATTATGAACAAAATACAAAATAATAAATCACCTGTATATATACAAATCTCAAAGGCATATTACCACTGATACGTGTCATTACAAACGAAGTCACTCAGAATCAAGATCAAACATTACAATATTTGGTTTACAATTTCAACAATTCTCCTCACAACATTCCAAATAAATGTTTTTCTAAAAATTTTAAAAGGTTGTCTTATATTCAAGTAAAAAAAGGTATGCATATTACACACTTTTCTGTGATATAAACAGCAGAACTGGAAGTGCAGTTTACAGACTTCACAACTTTTCAAACATGGATCATAAAAAAGTCTAGAACGCAGAAAATAAAATGTGCCACAAAAAAAAATTCAGTACCACCATGATCCAGTTCCTAGAACCTTACCATTAATAACAAAAGAGTGAAATGAGTTTATACTTTCAGTACCTATAACAAAATCTACGTTGTAAGGAAGAAAAAGGTGCCAATATAAAAACTATAAAGTATGCCAAAATCATATACATCATTAAGCAAAATTTTCGAACAATCATTACTCCCTGGCTACAGACAATTTCTAGCAATGCAGACCTGTATTATCAAATGAATATGATTTTAAGGCCTGATAACAGAAGATTATAAGCTGAAATTAAATAATAATTATATATTTTATCCACAACATATTTTATATGATAGGTATAATGCTTAAAGCAACAGGTGAAGTTTCTCATATGCATGTCACTTAAAAGATAAACATAAAAGAATATATTAAAAACTAAATATTAACTTAGAACAGATGGAGATTCTGTTTTTAACACCCGTAAACAGTCTAACTAGGACAAATACCAGGACTGGAGGTGGCAGATGAGGACACTGCATGTTATCTCACCTTAACTAGCAACCCAAATAATTCTGCCAAGGCCCGTCCCAGCCTTGACGAGGCTCCCAATAAAGGCTTGATATACTTCAACTGCAAAGCTGTAGGAAGAGTGCGATTACTGGCCTCAGAGTCCACCTCCATTGCGGTCTCTGAACTTGAGGCATCCATGGCACTGTATGATGGATGTGAGTCTCCCTGTATCACAGAAGTTCATTAAACTTAGTGAAGGAAACAATCGTACTGGAAACAACTAACATGGTACAGAAACTTCGATTTGCGCCGATTCAGAATAACGCCGCTTTGGAAACCAGCGAGTCAAAAAGAGAAAAAAAATATTTTACTATTACATTGAATATGCTGTTTGTGTTGTTCGACCACTATTCTGAAGTAGCAACTGTTTTATATTTATAAATTGTAGAAGAGCCACCATGTCTGGTAAGAGAAGTGAATGTGTTGCTAAAAAGTTGCGTAGGTCTATTGCGTTAGAAGTTGGACGCAATTCATAGAATAGAAGGTGGTGATACCCGTCGTAATGTGTGCAGAAGTATGAAGTTGCCTCCTTCCACTGTGACTACCACAATGAAAAATTCGTATAAAATAAAACAGTCAATGCAACAGGCTACGAGAGTAAGTGCAACACAAGTGAGTTATAGCAGAAGTAAACTTTTAGAAAGAATGAATAAATTACTGTTGCTGTTGGTGGATGACATGAATCGAAAAAACATTTCCTTGACTGAAATTGCTACCACGGATAAGGCGAAGTCAATTTTTGAGGAACTTAAGTCATCAACGTTTGGGTGCCGGGAATGCATGTCATTGACTTCCCATTGATTTACATTATAAAAAGAGTTTCAATTTACGCCGATTCCATTTACGCCGGTTCATCCAGGAATGCATCCCCGGTGTAAATCAAGGTTTACCTGTATTTAACATTTATCTTCAATATTTTGGAAACAATCCCTTCAGGGCCCAGGCAAAATTTTCTCGAAGACCACACAATTTTATTACCACTAAATTACATTACATCATTATTCTCTTCAAATGAGGTTCAAAATAAAAAGCATAAAGAACCTCCTACAGATAAAAATCTCACCCTAATTTCTGATGGGAAGAGTTTTTCCATATCCTCTCTGCCAAACTTGCAGCCCGGAGGAATGATATCATCACTGCAGAGCGCCAGCAGGAGGGTGCTCTCCCAGACTAATGATGTATACAACTCAGCCAAACCATTAAGCACACTGAGCCCCAACTCTGAGCCCCAGTGTGTTATGGACAGTGAGCGAATATCACTCTGAAATTAACCCCCAAAGTATTTCACTCTTTAAACAAGCATCATAGGATAACACATTTAATAACATCCAGCCACTTTGCAGCTTAAGGTAATATCTACCCAAATTCAAAAAAAAATCCTTGATATGGCAGATTTTTGGATAAAGAATTGCAAATAAATTTAACGCATTTTATTCTCACATAATTATAATTTTGTACAAAGCCTAAACAGTACCTACAATGAATCGTTCTTGGGCTACCAGCCGTGTCAGGTGGTTTAATGGAGAAAACACCAATGTTTCGAGAACAATCTCCACCCTCAAGGTAATGAAATTCAGTGACCTGAGGATCATGGTGAAGATGGCAGCCATGAAAGCTTCAGATCACTCAACAGTACCTCTTTCGTGCAATGTGCACACAAGTTTCCCTGCATAATTTACTATAACACAAACCAATACTCTGACTTGATCATCTAAGAAATTAGAGAAATGTACACTGCATTCTGAAAACATTATCCTCAGCCTAATGAACATGAGCAGTTCCATTTATTGGCCATGCCATACGGCTTATGCGCAGTTCGGTTGGGCACGCTTTGCACTAGCTTGTCACCACACC